AATCTGGGTAGAGAGAGCCTCTCCTCCTCCCGTTTCCTCAACCTCAGCAGCTTTGCTTTCCCGGTGGCTGTGTGTTCGTTTTGGATCCCCAGGCAAGCATCTCCTCATACAGGACTGGCGCCTTGACAAATCCGGGCAGGCAGTCCCCGAGGGTTCAGTGTTCTCTGCAGGGAATCGCGGCAGACTCGCCCGGGGTGGGCGTGTGGAAAGACCAAGTCTCTACACGTCTGAGTGCGGGTTTCAGTCTCCTTCCGAGTGCTTCTCATTTTAAATGTGAAGACTGGATGGGTCTTATTATGGAAACATTCACTGCTGAACGGCTAGAGGTTCTCCAGGAGTCCCAAACCATGAGGGTCAAGGAGGGGAAAGGCTGCGATTCAAGGCGTGCAAGACACGAGGTCAAAAGCCATAAAGAAGGCAGCCTTCGGCATTCAGGTGGACGTCCCCAGGGAGATGGCAACAGGCGGGCCCAAGACATCTTCTCCTGTGGGTCTTCAAAAAACGGTGGGGCCTTCCCCATAACCACGAACCCCTCAGAGAAGCCAGTGTTGCCTGTCGCTCCCATTGGCTTCTCTCGGTTTATTGCCCGCCACACATCTTTGTCCCAGACATCCACATGTTGAAAGCGCACCGAAGCCTGGGTTGCTCTCACCTAGCTTTGCCTCTTTGACCCTATGCCTCCTTCTGTGTTGTTTTCAGTTAGCTTTACCTCTTTCACTGTCTACACGCTACATAATTCTGTGTTGCTTTTAGCTAGCTTTACCTCTCTGACCGTATACCTAATTCTGTGTTGTTCTCAGTTAGCTTTACCTCTTTGACCATTTACCTAATTCTGGTTTTTTTTCAGCTAGCTTTAACTCTTTGACCATATAACCAGATTTGGGTTGTTTTCAACTAGCTTTACCTCCTTGACTTTGTAACCAGATTTGGGGTGCTGTCAGCTAGCTTTACCTCTTTGACCGTCTACGACTCAACTCTACATAATTCTGTGTTGCTTTTAGCTAGCTTTAACTCTTTGACCATTTAACTAGGTTTGGGTTGTTTTCAGCTAGTTTTACCTCTTTGACCATGTAACCAGATTTTAGGTTGCAATCAGTTAGCTTTACCTCTTTGACTGTATACCTAATTCTGGGTTGCTTTCAGCTAGCTTTATCTCTTTGACCGTATAACCAGATTTTAGGTTGCTCTCAGCTATCTTTACCTCTTTTATTAGCCCTTTTGGTGCTCAATACCTAGAAGAAATGAACAATCTTTATTTTTTCCCAGAAAAATGCAGTGATTAAAAGGAAATAAAGCATTCTTTTTGACTCCCTGATTTGTAAAGACATCTGTGCTGTCTTCAGAGGATATTTGAGCCCTAAACAAGTTTTTTTTTTACGGCTCTTGCCTTTGTGTTTCTTTTTTAAAACAAGAATACTGTAATACTTCTTTCTTGTTTAATCATTCAACCACTGTTAAGCTGCTGGCTTCTGATGTGCAAAAAACTTTGAAAAGTTACAATTTTGGGCTTGGTGGCCCGCGGGCCCTGATCCTGATAGAAGGATCCTGGAACTCACATTTCAAAGAAACTGAGAGGGTTTTTTTTACAAGCTCTATCAAGTGTCCCTGGTAGAAGGAGGATCTGGCGTCATACCATTGCAGAAGGACAGCAGAGTAAGAACATCAATTAGCCGAGTCACCTGATATTTTCCTTGAACGTTTGTCTTTGATGCTGGATTACAGATGGATAAGGAAACTGACTCCGCGGCCGGTTAAGATATAATCGCTTTTCTCAGTCTATTTTTGAAAGATTTTGTTTTTGCTCGTGTATATTTGCTGTAATGGAAGGCAACAGCAAAATCCAGTTTTATTTTCTTTTTTTTAGAAACAGGGCATTTGTTTTGAAAAAGGAGAGTGACTGGGTTTCTAGCAAATTTCATAATGTGCGGGGAAAAAAATGGTGCTTGGCTTGGTCAGAGGAGGGAAAAAGGTAGAATTATACTTTCTTGACCTCCAAGAGCATCCACAGCTAAAAGGGAATTTATGACCAGGCATCAGATTTTACTGGGTGGAAAGTGCTGCATGCCACTAGCAAGAAGCTGGCTGCGCCCTCCATAAATTATCCTGTTTTAAAGGCTTCCGTTGTGGCTGTTCTCCCCCAGGAAGCGGCGTGGGAGGTCTTAGAATATGGGCTGGTTACAAAGGTAAACTGCAGGATAACAAAGAGGCACGGAGTCTATTCAGATCTGCCTGCAAAATGGCCACGCTTTGTTGGAAGCAATTGTTTCCCATCGTCCTGAAATCCCTGGAGGCAAGGTAGCGTTCAGCACCTTGGCTAACTCCTGGAAAGTTCAGAGGGAAATCCAGAGCAGACGGGCCGGCTAGACGATTGGGTTGTTTTTGAGTGGATCTCACGGAATCATACAGCCGGTTTTGCCCCAGTGGGATTTGGGCAGTTCAAACCTGCCCCCACCTCTTGAAGCTGGAGAGAAGAAAGATGGTTTACATTTAGGGAGAGCCATGCTCTCGGGCGGCTACCACACCGGTGTGGAGCCTTCTGTCCTAGGCGCCTTCTGCTTCTCGGCCCCCGGCACACATCAAGCAAACACGGTCAAGGCAAAACCTGCATTGACCCCAGAACCCTATTCCCAGCCTCCAACATGCAGGATAGTAAAATACACCCCTGCGGTTAAGCTGAGCCTCTAGCAATCAACGTGAATGGATCATGCTTCGCAGCAGGGCTGACCCCCAGTAAAACGGGATCCCACTGGGAGAAAACCAAAGAAGGACTCCGAAGCCAATTAGCCCGGCCTCTGACATCCAGAAGTGCTTCTTGGGTTTCCCTGGACAAGGGAGGGCTGTGATCTAAAGCCAGCAAAGGCCAGGGGCGGCTGGGCAGTGGCCGCAAATCTCCTTTCGTGGTTGAGCTTGAGGGCGCGGGGTGGTGGTGGTGCAGAACCAAAGCAAACAATTCTATATTTTTTCTCTTGCTGTCTCTCTGCAGAGGAGATCTATAGCTCCTGAGCAACCAGAGACCGGTGCTGAGGAAGTGAGCGGCTCCTGGAAGGAAGGATGGCCGAGTCAGCGACAGGAGCCGTGATCTACAGGCTGAGCATGCGGTCCCCTGACAAAGAGTAAATCAGCAGCAGGGGTGGATCGGCATTCGTGGGCTGTTTTTTGTCCTTCGGCTCTGCTGTTATATGGTAGACTGCTACTGTACACAGAGGCTCCATATGTGTGTCGCGACTCGAGCATCCCCATCGTGGCTTATTCCACGGGAGGGATCTGTCGTAATCATCCTTCGGTTGATCACCCTTCTCTTGAATCATCCGTTCTTGCAGATACTGCAAACCAAGACTGGCCTAGCTTTGTTGCCCCCCCCCCCGGCTCTCTCTCCATCTCTCTTCAGTTCCATTTTTCATTATTACAACAATGTCAGCATGAATGACAAAGTCAAGAAGAGGTTTTTATGAAACAGTTTGGAGGATTTTTTTAAAAAATATCACCTGCTGCCATCTACAGGCAAGCAAAGAGCCTCTCTTCGTATTTGCAATGTTTTCCTGTTTTACTAACTAACTAACTAACTAACTAACTAACTAACTAACTAACTAACTAACTAACTAACTAACTAAATCCCATTGCAATAAAAATTCCTCTAGCCTTTGCTTTCCTCAGTTTGGATCTGGACAGGAATTTGACACAGCCGGACGCAGAAACTCAGAAATAAATCCCATTAATTTCTGTGGCACAGACCAAGTATGGTTTCTGCTGCCATTGACTTCATGCTTTGTATCTGGGGTGCGAAAGCAAATTTCAGACTCAAAATCTCCCTTATTTTGGATGCCCACATGGCTGCTCAGTTTCTGCCTGTGTTTGAAGGGCCTTGGGCTTATTTTATGACGACCATTCCACCCCTCATTGCTTTTATTTTTCCTCGCCAGCCATCATGTATATATGTCACTTTTGGAAAAAAAAATACAATATGGGCCATTCGTTGCTCTTCCACTTTGCATGGCTCGTTGTGTAATCACCTTCACCGCCTGCCAAGGAAAGATACATTTAAAAAATCAGGCTTGCAAATTCGCAGCACGGCCCTCACTTTTCTAAACACTGCAGCCTTCATTTTGCACCGCAGCTCCATTTATTTATATATATTTAAAAATTAAATGCTTCTCTACTGTTTTGTTTTTAAACAATACTGAGCCAAAGCATAGAAGAAAAGTTCTCCTCGCTGCCATGTTCGCCTGAAGCCAAAGGCTAATTTTGGGACTCCTAAAAAACCAAAAGCTTTTCGCTGGGCCTTTTCCTCGCCCGCCCGCCCGTTTCCTAGGCAACCCCGGCCGCCATTTTTTCCCCGGGTCTTCGCTCCCGCCTCCCCTCCTTGGCCGTCTCTCCATTGGCCAGAGCCGGCTTTCCGGATGGACGGGGATTGGGGCCAATCGCCGCCGTCCACGAAGCCACAGCGTCCCCGTCCCTTCCTTGTTGTCTCGTTCCCTCCCTCTTGGAGGGAGCAGAGGAAGAAGGCGGGGCCGGGCGGGCGAAAACGAGACGGACGTGACAAGGTAGCCAACGGGAGCAGAGGAGATGGCAAGGGAAGGCGGGGAAGAGGGAGATGGACGTGACGGGAGGCCAATAGAGAATAGGAAAGAGAAGGAAGGGCTTCCTGAGGGGGCGGAGCCGAGAAGTCAGCGAGGATGCAGGTATAACAGACCAGCAAAGCCACTCTAGTAAAGACAGTGAATGCCTTGATAAATGTAATAAACCAACTGGGATGTCAAGTGGATGCTAAGTCAATGGGAAGGGTTGTTCCCAAGAATCCCAGGGGAAACGCATCAGTTGCTAGATATAAGTGACTAAGCCAGTGGGTTTGTAGTGGATAAAATGGCAAACAAGGACTCAGGAGATCTGTGTTCAAATCCATTCTCAGCCATGGAAACTGTGTGTGTGTGGGGGGGAAGAATTATTGGGAGAGGGGGGCCACAGTGTTTGGGAACGGGTGTGTGTGACTACAAATCCCATCAGGTCCTAGGCAGCCTGCTGGCTGAAGTCCCCCCCTCCCCCAGGAACTTCTTCCAAGCTCTCTTATCCTTCCAAGGGAGGATAATGGGCACCGTAGTCCTCCCCAGAAAAAGGAACTTCTCTGAGCTGTCAAAAGGCTTCGCCAGTGGATATGCCAGGTTTTTTTTGGGGGGGGAGGTAAAAAATGAAGTTTCTAAGCTCTCCGGGGGGGGGGTTTAATCTGGGGGATTTTCCCACCCGATCGCCTCTGGTGAGTCAAGGGTTGCCTCCAGGGGAACAGGCTTGGGAGTTCTGTAGGAGCGCAAATCAGCAGATAAATCCGTAACTTCTTTGCCCCGCTGAATTCAGAGAAGGCCCGTCAGAGGAAGTGACAAGACGGCGACACCGCAGGCAGCAAAACCAAGTGGTAAAGTCTCCCCTGTTGGATTACAGCCAGCCCCATTAGTCTGACTCTGTCTAAGAAACCTTCCTCCATAAGAAGAAGAGTCTTAGGACTGCAGAGCCGGAAGGGAGCCTATGGATCATCCAGTTTAGCCCCTGTCGAGGAGACCCCGGGTGGGGGGGTAGAGAGGGATCGAAGCCCCAGCCTCAAGATCCACAGACAGAGACCTCCACCACAGTCCTAAGGAGGGTGTGCCTGGTGCTGACCCATATTCCACGTTTTTTCTCTCTCTTTCTAGGCAAGAAGCAGCAATGAGCCGCCTGCCGTTCCCTGGGCCCCAATGAACCTCGTCTCGATGGCCGCCGTGGCCGCCGCGGTGGAGCCGGAGCTGAAATGGGTCTCCCTGTGGCTCCGTGTCCGCTGGGCCGCGGCGCTCGTGGTGGTGCTGGCCGCCCTGGTCGTGTTGCTGCTCCCGCTGGCGGCGGTGGAAGAGCAGTGCCGCGCCGTGTTCAAGGGCTGGTCGCTGCTGAAGACCAAGCTGGGATTGGGCTACGTGGGCGTCAGCCACTCTCCAGGGCAGACGACCGGCCTCAGCGTCACGTCCGGGGGATTGGAGCTCCTGGTGTTGAAGCCGAAAGTCTCGGCAGGTAAAGATGGACTCCTTGAGGTCTGGAAACAGCATCCTCGGATAGAAACAAAATTGCATGTGCAGTTGTTTTAAAAATCAGCTGTGACAATGGCGACCTATTGTGCTTTTTTTAGCATTTGAGTATCCTTTAAAAAAAAAATAATTTCCAGCTTTTAAATCTCCTCTCATCCCTTTTCCTACGGGTGGTCTGGTGTTGTCGTGGGTCTGATTTGAACAGAATCGCTCTAAACAGTCCAGTTGTGCCACGTCCAGCGTGGCCGGCCTCCCAGTTCTTCAGCTGAAAAGGTCTCGTCCTTCCAGCGTTGCCTTGAGGGGTCAGCAGTAACCGCCTGTACTTTTTAGTTTGGACGACCTGACCAAAATGTTCTGACTTTTCACCTTGAATGTGTTTCATGGCTTCTTACTCCTGACTCCAGCCTTTGATGCTCTTTGCCCGAGAGTGGAAAAGATCCTCATTATCTTAGAGAGAGGGAGGTTGGAAAGGCGTAGCGGAGCTGAAGATGTTCCATGTGCCCTCGCTTTTATATCTGTGACTCCTTTCCCTTGCACCCATTATTTAAATATTTCCTGGGAAGGAAGGGAGAGGAGGAGGTCTAAGCTTCTCTGTGTAGCACCGAGGGTTTCTGTTCTCTGTGCCAAAGTCTTCTCAGAGAGGCTTCGCTTGAGACAAGCGGTCCTCAACCTCTGGCCCTCCAGACGTTTTGAACCTCATCTTCCCAGAGGCCCCGATCTGTGTGGCCAAACGTTACGGGGCTCTATGGTTTGAATTTCAAAATGTCTGGAACTCTCCCGGTTGAGCCACTGTGGCAGGACCAGCCTTTTTTTTCCCTTGCCACACTAAACGTCACATGCAATTTTTTTCTCCCTCAGAGATCAGGCTGGAAGCCAAGGCGGCCCTCAACCAAGCCCTGGAGATGAAAAGGCAAGGCAAGCGTGAGAAAGCCCACAAGCTCTTCTCGCACGCCCTCAAGATGGACCCCGATTACGTCGACGCCTTGACGGAGTTTGGCCTCTTCTCCGAGGAAGAGAAAGACATCATCCAGGCCGACTACCTCTACTCCAAAGCCCTCACCCTCTCTCCGCGCAATGAGAAGGCTCTGGTCAGTCGTGACCGGACGCTGCCCTTGGTGGAAGAAATTGACCAGAGGTTCTTCAGCCTCATCGACAAGAAGGTCCAGAAGGTCATGTCCATCCCCAAAGGCAACTCGGCCCTCCGGAGGGTCATGGAGGAGTCCTACTACCACCACATTTACCACACGGTGGCCATTGAGGGGAACACGTTGACCTTGTCCGAGATACGGCACATCATCGAGACGCGCTACGCCGTCCCCGGGAAGAGCTTGGTGGAGCAGAACGAGGTCATTGGCATGCACGCCGCCATGAAGTACGTCAACGCCACCCTGGTCTCCCGGATCGGCTCCGTCACCCTCGGCGACATCTTGGAGATCCACCGAAGAGTGCTGGGCTACGTGGACCCCGTAGAGGCCGGGAGGTTTAGGACTACCCAGGTGTTTGTGGGCCACCACCTCCCGCCCCACCCTCGCGACGTGGAAAAGCAGATGGTGGAGTTTGTCCACTGGATGAACTCCGAAGACGCCATGGGCCTCCACCCGGTGGAATTTGCCGCCTTGGCCCACTACAAGTTGGTTTACATCCACCCCTTCGTGGACGGCAACGGGAGGACTTCCCGGCTCCTGATGAACCTCATCCTGATGCAGGCGGGCTACCCGCCCATCACCATCCGCAAGGAACAGCGGGCCGAGTACTACCACGTCCTGGAGGTGGCCAACGAGGGGGACGTCCGGCCGTTCATCCGCTTCATCGCCAAATGCACCGAGAGCACCCTGGACATGCTGCTCATCGCCACCACCGAGTACTCCGTGGGCCTGCCCGAAGCCCACGGCAGCACCGCCACGGACTGCAAGCAGACCATTTCGGTCAAAACCCGAACTTGAGGGGCTTCGTGGCACGGAAGGGAGGGGATCTGTCGGGGTCCACCTTTCCAACCCCTCTCCAGGGAACGAGAACTAATACGGCACTTTCTTTTTCAGAATTTCATTTATTTAAGTAAGTTTTTAAGTTAATTTTTTTTTTGTCCGCAGCCATATCTCCATGTATTTATTTTTCCTGTCATGTCAGGCCAAAATTATTTATGGTTAACGTTGGGAGTGTTGATGGTGGTCAGTGGAATGAATGGGTGGCAATGTTCCTTTATTAGCCAGACAACGTCTGGGATGGCCTTCCCTGGCAAGGTTCTTCACAGGGCAAGAAGGACTTACTAGGCTGTCCCACAAACCAGCCCCGGTGTTTCTTATCCAGTGAGATTCCTTCCTCCGTTGATTCCAACTTGACAGGCAGTGCGGGCCGGTTCTCAGCCTTCTTAGGGTAGGGAGGAAATCTTATCTAAATCCACACCACTTCATAATTTTAAATAGTCCCTGTTTGTCTATGGCCGTGATGCTCCAATCCTTAAAACCAAGCCTTTCTGAATTCTGCTTCTGTCCAGGGGCCAATTTTTTGCCTTTGTATCACACGCACACTCCCCTATCACCACCAGTATCACAACTCCTATGAAACTTTAGGTAAGAACTGGACGGTCACCCCAACTTATTCTGCCACCCCGAGGGGATTTGTGGCTGCGTTCTGAAAAACACAACTGAACGATGCAGCGAGGAAAATAGGCTTAATTCCCCAAACTGGTCCCAGCCAGAGGAGACACGCTGAATCGGTTGCCAGATGTTAAGCTGTTGCTTCACATAAAACCCTACTGATTCAGAGGCCCCGTTTCGGTTGGGATTTGCATCTGGATTGAGGCCCAGATGGTTGAAAATACGTGGCAGGAGCTGTCGTTCAGACGTCAAGACTTGCCTTAACCTGTGCTAAAATTGACAGCCTGGCCTCTTTCATCCCCTCCCTTCTATTTCTAAAGTTACATAAATATTGCAGATGCTGAAAATCCTTTTTTATATATATAGCACTTTACTCAGATGCGCTTGGCAAGGAAAGATGGTACGGACAAGCCATGTTATCGGATCTTGGAGGGTGAAAAAAGAAAGTGTTTTGTACTCCTTAGAAATGTTGGCAGGTCAAGCCCTTAATCCTACAGTATTTTGGATCAGGTGAACAGAGAAAGGGTGACTCCAGAAGGCAGAAATGTTGTGCCAGCTAGCAATGCCTCCCCCCCCAATCAACCACCCCCATTTTATGATCCTCCATCCCCTGGCTCACCATGCTTTAGTCTTCCCTCTGAAAAGAAAAGAGGATTGCAAAAGACCAAACAGTGTATTAGAAAAGTGTGGTCAAATCGAGGAAAGAGGAACTGAGAGGGAAGGCGCCGGGTACCACCGTTTTCCAGTCCAGAGGAGAAGATGCTGAGAGGCGCAGCCTTCTGAGAATACAGCCGCCTTCCCAGAACTGTTCCTCACCGGGTGGGTGGGGACTACAGTGTCCATAACCCTTGCCAAACATCCCCGAGGGGATACGGCCTTTGTGGTTCAACACATGGGGTCAGCAAGGGCTTGGGAGAGGGGGGCTGAGCTCTTCTGCATAACTGCAGAAGGTAAGAGGGAACGATATCCCAACAGGCTACACGATACAGAGGCCTGGATGCCGGTGCAGGCCCTAGTGGGACTTCCTCGTGAGTAAGAACAGAACACAATGCTTCAGCTAGCCAAGAAGTTAAATCAGCTGAAGCGGGTGGGTGGGGACTACAGTGTCCATAACTCTTGCCAAACATCCCCGAGGGGATATGGCCTTTGTCGTTCAACACATGTTGGGAGAGGGGGGCTGAGCTCTTCTGCATAACTGCAGAAGGTAAGAGGGAACGATATCCCAACAGGCTACACGATACAGAGGCCTGGATGCTGGTGCAGGCCCTAGTGGGACTTCCTCGTGAGTAAGAACAGAACACAATACTTCAGCTAGCCAAGAAGTTAAATCGGCTGAAGCTGGGCTGAGTCCCAACCTGTCTCGATCATCCACGGTGTCCCTTCCAGATCTGTAGTTCTAAGGTTTGTTGGTTCTATCAGCCTCCCCTCCCCTCGGCCCGACTCTTGTGGCAACACAGCGGCTGTGCCCCTGGGCTGGCGCTGGGCTCTTCTGCCAGCGGATCGTAGCCCAAGTACCTTTTGTGCTGACAGAGTTCCTCACTCAAGGGGCTTTGTGCTGCCACGAGAGGCTTCTGCCAGTTCTAAAGCCATGAGGACGGGCGCAGGCCACGTTTAAAGAACCGAAACACGGTGGGTGGGTGTGCTGCTTAGCAGGACCACCGCCAAGTGGCAACCGGCGAGGGCAAAAGCAAGCGATGGTCAAAGATGAGCTGGGCTGAGTCCCAACCTGTCTCGATCAAGAGACCACGAGGTCCCTTCCAGCTCTGTAGTTCTAAGGTTTGTTGGTTCTAATGGCTTGTTCTGTCTAGAGCGGAAAGGGATTGAGTGAGGTCTGCATTTGGGCTCCTACGGAGAAGGAAAAGGAGTGGCAGGATAATGGAAGGTGGTTTTTCAAATGTGACCTCTTTTCATTGATAAAATCAGTTTAAGATGTCAAAGGTGTGATTTTTCTTTTTTTTTACATCAGTAGCCTGAGAGAAATATTGGGGGTAACGAGGGTTCCTAAAATGCAGCCTTCAGGAGTAAGCAAGCGAGAGAGTCTGTTTGTTGATCCCTGAAGGAGTCTTGAGCCAGTCGAGTTTAGTTTCCTTCTTGCTCGTCCTCCTGAAAGTTGAACAAGGTACTTTGGCTTCTGCAAGAAGGCCACTGTGGTAACTGTTTTAAAGTAGTCATTCCCATCCTCTGGTCTTTTGGGAATTTGGGACTTCAGCTGCTAGAAGCCTCAACCGTTTCGGGCCTGCCGGTCAAGAGTTCTGCAAAAATCTGCAATGTTTGAAAGCCAGGAGTAAGCAAGCGAGAGAGTCTGTTTGTTGATCCCTGAAGGAGTCTTGAGCCAGTCGAGTTTAGTTTCCTTCTTGCTCGTCCTCCTGAAAGTTGAACAAGGTACTTTGGCTTCTGCAAGAAGGCCACTGTGGTAACTGTTTTAGTCATTCCCAACATCTGGTCTTTTGGGAATTTGGGACTTCAACCGTTTTGGGGCTGCTGGTCAAGAATTCTGGGAAGTAAAAATCCGCAATGTTTAAAGGCTTAAGAGGGAGACCCTGCTTGATTTAAATATGGACAACTTAAAAGGCTTTCACAACATTCGTATCGCCACAACGAAGTGCAAATCCAAATTTTGCCCCTGCTCCCAAGAGGATTACACACACACACACTCACGAGGGCATCTATGCAGTTTGAGAACTGAACTTTAATGAAGAGCCGAAGCCCACATTTCACACGGTGTACAAAACCTCTCAAATGAAACTCTGGACGAGCAAAAACGATCGCCAAAAAGCATCAAGATAGCAAACAAATGGCAGATGTTAAGAAAACAACAACAAAACAGAAACGCCCCATATGGTCCGCAGAACGGATGATGCCTCTTAAGCTTTAAGGGGAGGAAATCCCCCCTTATCTTTGCCTCAGAAGGAAAACTCAAAAATCATAGTCTGGCAGGTCATTTACAAAGACACAAAGGAAGATGATTTAAAAAAAAAGAACAAGCACACAAACCCAGTCGAGTCATATACTGTGGATCGATTCCGTATAAATGCCAACCCTTCCACCCCAGTAATAAAAGAGGCCATTACGGTGAAGCGGCAAGCGTCTGCCGTAAATTTAGAATCGCTTGAAAGAGGGCGACAAGAGGTCTCTCTGTGTGTGTGTGTGTGGTTTGTGTCTAAATAGTGCACTGTGTGTGTGTGACAGAGAGACCCTGCCCACAGCATCCAAGCTCTGGGCCTGCAGTGGGATATGTACAAAATGAGCATGATCAGCTTTCACATTAGATTTTATCCTGCTTTGAGGCGTCAACCAACCACTCAACAAAAAGAAGGAAAAAAGGTGCGCTCTCGTAAAGCAGGGTTGTATCCTGGCCTCAAACGTGAGTTCCCTACCACCTTACCCCTCAATATGAGGGAGCGTTTAAAGCCATTTTAACCACACACAACCCAAATGCAACGCTTTGCGCCCTCTGATTCTCAGGGAGGGAGGGAGGGAGGGAGCAAACTTGGGTTTTGGCACCCCCTTGCCCCGCCCAGATCGGGAGGTGTGAACGTCCAGGTACGGAGCGACGGGTGGCCGGGGTGGGGTGGCTTGCAAGCACGCAGGGAGCAAGGCGGTGGCTTCGAAAAGGGCCCCCACCACTCTTCCCTGCCCCCAACCCTTCCCAGGCTTCCTGGTCTTTCTTGACGCTGGGGGGGGGGCTGTCTCACTTGTTCAGCAGCATCCTGGCAAAGTCTGCATTGGAGAGCTGCTTGGGCTCCTCGGAAGAAGAGGAAGGGGTGGCGGGCGGGTTGGGGGTCGTCCCGTTCTCCACCTTGGCCACCGGGTTGCTCTGGCGCTGCAACGCCCGTGGGATCATCGCGAGCTGGGTCCTCCCCTTGCCCCGGCTTTTGGGAAGAAGAGAGGACAAGTGTTAGGGTCCCTGTTTTTCTGGGCCCTCGGAAAAGGCCGCTCCCTGCATGAGGCCATGTTTTCTATCATCATCTTTATTTGCAACCTTCGCATCCAACCTTTCCTCTGATCTGTTCAAGGATGCATATCCTGTATTGCAAGAAGACCTTGCTTTATTCTGTTCTCCTTTGGGGGAACCGAAGCCGCGCTCCTGAGGAAGTGACCCTGGTACAGAGATGCTCTCCCCGCACTTTTTAAAGTGGGCTGCTTTTAAGTTCCTTCCCATTTGTTGTTTCTATGCGATAACCTGTGTTTTAGAGCGGCAACAGGCGGAGGCACAGCCTTCCTGCCTTCCAGACTCATTGCCTCTGTGGAGAAATCCCAACATGTGAAAACTTGTTTTTTCAGTTGCCTCTGTTTGTTCTTAAATTAATGTTTAACTTAACTGTCTTCAGACCGGGTGCTGGAAGAAAGGCAGGATTTAAAATTCTTCCATTCGTCCCTCAATGAATCCCAGTGAAAGCTAGCACACCCTCGCGTTTAAATTTCAGCAAGGAGGCATGAAAAGGGACAGACACCCCCACCCCCGCACCGCACTGCCCAAAACAGAAGGCCACGATGCTGAGGCTGTGGAGGACACCCCCCAATTTGCACCCCACCCCACCCTGCTGACCTTCAAACAGCCGATGCTCACACAGAGAGACACCATGCAGAATACTCACGCGCCATAAACCTGCCGGGGAAGTGGGGTCTGGAAGTTCCTCCCTGCAGCCTCCAACTTCTCGGGGAGTTTACGGGCTGGCGGGTTGCTGATGGCCACCTTGATGGTGTGGGTGTCGATGGTCAGGCCGTCCATTTTCAACACCGCCTGCGAGGCCTGGGCTTCGTTCTCAAACTCGACGTAAGCCAAGCCCTGACAGCCAAAAGGAGAAAGAGAAAGAGAGAGAGAGAGATGCACACCATTCTGAATCAGTGGGAACCCTGGTGATTTCTCCCCCCTGAGGAGCATCTCAAGCAGGCCAAATAGGAGCTCCCCAACAAACTCTTTTATAGGCGTGCCCCATGAAGCAGCTGACATAAAATGTCCTGAACCAGGGCTGGTGGCCGCATTTTTTTTTTTTGCATCTACCACCCGTTTTCCAATAGGGTGACGGCACTTTTGACCTTCTTTTAAAGCACCATCCTCTCCTTTGATTTTACAGGAAGCGAAGAGCAGGCAACCTCAAGAGTGTCTCCAGGTTTCCCGACTGGTTGGCATGCAAATAAAATATGCCCACCCCACCCTCAAACTGTTCTTTGGTGAATGAAATTTAAACTTCATTCACCAAATTTGGATTTAAAAGCCAAGAGAGACCCCTGAAGCTTATGGCCTGAGAAACAACCCATCCCCCACAGGTTCTTCTGGAGCAGTGGTTCCCAACCTTAGGTAACCCAGAGGTTCTTGGACTACAACTCCCAGAAGGCCTTCACCATCCGCTGTGCCGGCAAGGATTTCTGGGAGCTGCAGTCCAAGAACCACCTGGGGAGCCAAGCTTGGGAACCCCTGCCGTGGAGGGAAGCTACCCATGTCAATACAGGCAGGAAGCTGCTAGCAAGGGCACCTAGACCTCCACTCATTTCTTAAAATACCTTTACCCTGCCCTTGATCAACAGATCTCAAACGGGGTGGGTGGGAGGGAGGACTCCATCACCTAGACCTCCACTCATTTCTTAAAATATCTCTACCGTGCCCTTGATCAACAGATCTCAAAGTGGGGGGGAGGACTCCACTCATAACAGGACTTTAAAGAGCACCTAAAACATCCAAGTGTTTTGAAACCACAGAAGACAGTGAGAAATAATAATTTTGACCTGTTTAGCTGTTGAAGCCAACCGAAAGCAGCAGGACCAGAGACGAAGCCCACAACCTGACAACGGCCAGAGACTTGGGAGGACATACAGGTTTTAACTTGGGCCCCCAAAGAAAGACAGGAAGGCATTGCGCCGTCCGGGTGCCCAGCGGAGAAAGTCCTCTTTGGTGGGTCTCCAGACGGGCACAGGGAGAGAGGGCCCCGCTCGCCAGATCCCGTGGACCGCGTGGGCGCCCGTACGCCTGTACCTTGGATTTCCCAGCTCGGTTGGCGACCAGACGGACCTCCCGAACGTTCCCGTGGGCTTTGCACAATTCTTCCAGCGCCTCCTTCGTATAGGAACGCGGCAAACCAGAGACAAAGAGTTTGTGTTTCTCCAGGGCTGTGCTGTACTTGAAGACCTGCGGGGAAGAAGAGACAAGGAAGGAAAAAGCAGCCACAACTAAACACATCCAGTGTGTGTGTGTGTGATCAGACATACTGTGTGTGACGCTTTTCCCTTATGATGAAATGCATTTGTCACAAAACTTAAGCTGCGTATAATAAAAAAAATTTCTACAACATTCTTCAGAAAATCATAAAAATCAATTCTCAAAAACAGAGGCCACCCAGAATCACGCAACTTTGACCAGCTGCCAGAAACTCAAAAAGAATAAGTCTCCAAGGTAGCGCCACAATCCAGTCACTGCCCACCAGCCAGCCTGCCTTCCATAGAAGGTTTGGAGGTTCGCCCTTGCAAATTCCAGTGCCCACAGGCCTCCTTTGCATTAATCTGTGCACGGCAAACAAGCTACGCAGTAGGCTTTAAGGTCGGCAGCAGCTTTTTCTAGACGCCTTGGCTTCTTCCATCTACGGCTCCATTCCTGCTTTTACTCTGTGAAGCTAAAGATGCAGGCCCTACTGACTGTCATAGAAGTGGATTTCCTTCTGAAACCAGAGAAGGGATAATCTGTGCACGGCAAACAAGCTACGCAGAAGGTTTTAAGGTTGGCAGCTTATTCTAGGCTTTTTTCCACCTACGGCTCCGTTCCTGCTTTTACTCCATGAAGCTAAGGATGCGGACTCTACCGACTGTCATACAAGCGGATTTCCTTCTGAAACCAGAGAAGGGGGAGAGAGAGAGCCCTACCTTAAAATCTGGATTCTTGGCCTTGTCGACACAGGGGGAGACGTACATCAGCCTCCCTTCCACGTTCTTGCGATCCAGGTTCAGGGCTTGGAGAGCCGCCTTCTCGTCCTTGAACTCGACGTACGCGTAGCCCCGGAAAAGCCCTTTGTTGCTGAAGATGGGGCGGACGTCGGCCACCTCTCCGCACTCGGCGAAGAGGGCCTTCAGGGTGGCCTCAGGCTCCGGCATGCTGTAGGGGAGGTTGCTGACGAAGACGGTGACGCTGTCCTTCTCGCTGTCGTGAGCGATCCTGGGCGTCTCTTTCCGCTTGGGAGCGATGGCGGCGGCTGCCACCACTTTCGGTTTCGGATCTGCTCTGGGGGCCCTGTTCCTTCCAAAAAGCCCAGCCTCCGTCTCCATGGCTTCCACCTCCTCCTCTGCTTCCTCCACCTCGTCTTCCTCAGCTGCCGCTGCCGTGTCTCCACCGCCACCCCCTCGGCGCTTCTTGCTGGGCTGTTCATCTGGTCCAAGAAACACAACAGGATCGAGTCATTTCCAAAAGGTGCATCACCGCAACCCTCGTAGCGTGAAGGTGAATCAAAAGCGGTGCACTGGAAGGAGTAAGCTCTACCCTAGACCCTCCACTGCTTGTTCTACCTCAGTACAGTAGGACCCCCTTATGCGCGGGATCAGTATCCACTGATTCACTTATCCACAGTCTGAAAGTATTTAAAATATTAAATCTTTTTTTGTTTTGTTTTGCTCCTTTGGATTTTGTCTGAGAAGCAGGCCCTCCTTTCTTAAGGAGGCTGCCCTTCCTCCTGCGCTGATCTCTCTCTTCCCACCCGGACAGCAGCGGCCTTCCGACAGACTCCAAAGCCAGTTTCTTCCCCAACCCAAGGACGCTGTGGCTCAAGGACCTGCGTGGGATTTGGGAGGCTGAGTTTGTCCTCTGGCAAGCTGTGAAACCGGCGAGATGGCTTTGGGACAGCTGTGCTCTTTCTTGGAGCGGGAGCTTCCCTCACACAGCTGCTGCAGGGATCCAGCAGCCGAGGGGGGGGGTGGAGAGAGAGAGAACCAGGCCCTCCACCTTGAGCCAGCTGGAAGAGCATAATGAAGGGCATAAAAAATCACCAGTAATAACAAAAAAGGGGGAATGGACGGAGACCAGAGAAGACCCCGATGGGCCAAGCTCAGCCTTTTCCGAGCTGAGCTATCGTAGGGTACAAAGCCCAACTCCCCTGAAGATGATGGGAGGTGCTTCTGCCTCGGGGGGGGGAGGCCCGAGAGCCCCTCTGGTGGCCAAGAGTGCTGAGGAACCCACCACCTCCCCCAGGTAGAAACAGGGGCCTGGCCTTGCTGCTGATCACGGGTTCTGGACAACGGGGAAGGGCGCAGATGGCCTTGCTTTGCCACCCGATGGTTCTGTGCCCCAAAGGGAACAGTGCCCTTGCCAAATGCACCCCTCCCCCCAAAAATCGACGACACGCGGGTCCCGGACACACCGCTGGCGGCTTCTGGCTCAGCCCTACCTCTCTCCTCTTGCCCCCACTCCCCCGGGCCATCGTCCTCGGCTTTGCGCTTGTCCCCAGCCTTGGTCTTCCTGGACTTCTTGGCGGCCTTCTTCTCGGCCCGAGATGGCTTCCGCTGACTCGTGACGGCCGCCTCCTTCTCGGCTGCCTGGAAGGCAAAAAGGGGACCCGAGGCTCAGAGAAAAGCCACCCCATTCTAACCCCAACCTCTTTGGGGCAAGTGAGGCAAATTCCCAGCAAAAGGGAATCAACCCACTTTCCAACAGCGGAGTTTCCTCAGAGAATGTGCCTCTCTCTCTCTCTCTCTAAGCATACCAGCCAGCTGGAACCCTAAATCTAAGCTGCACTTCCCACAGCTTTAGGAAAAATAAAACAAGAAGAAGAAGAAGAAGAAGAAGAAAGAAGAAGAAGAAGAAGAAGAAGAAGAAGAAGAAGAAAGAAGGAAGAAGAAGAAGAAGAAGAAGAAGAAGAAGAAAGAAGAAGAAGAAGAAGAAGAAGAAGAAGAAGAAGAAGAAGAAGAAGAAGAAGAAGAAGAAGAAGAAAGAAGAAGAAGAAGAAGAGATCCCTTGTCCTCTTCTGGTCGATTTCTGTCCTTAACCCTAACCTTAATCCTTTGCTCGTTGACTCGAGCCAGCCGAGTCTCTGTTCTCTGCACAGCGGCATCCCAGTCTTCCAAAGTACCTGGAGGGGAGGAAGGGAAAGAGACACTCAGAGTCCCTCTGGGCCTTCTGTAAGGCTGAACACGGGCTACCCGGAGAGCCTCAGGGCAAGCGAGCGAGCAAGGACGGCCCCCGGAGGGCGCTCTTAGGACCGAACAGCTCTGGCGCTGGGGAGTCCCCCGCGCATCCCAGCCAAGACAGCCCCCCCTCGTGTTCCTTCCCAGCTCCAACGGCCCCCTCGCTCATCTCCGGCAACCCGGGTCTTCACACCCGCCAGCAAAACGGAAGGGGAAGGCGGCAGGTGCCAGGCGGCTCACCTTCGATCCTTTCCAGGGTCAGCAGCACCTCGCAGACATGCTCAGGGTAGTCGCTCGTGCACTGGACGGCCCGATGCAAAGCCTTGCGGCAGTGCTGGGTGTCCCCGTGTGCCCTGCAGCGCCCGGAAAGTGGTGGGCGGGGGGGGAGAGGGAGGGAGAAATAGGTGGTCCCAGTCTGCAAGTCTTTGCAAAGAAGCCACGGAAGCCATGGTGGAGGAGGCCAGAGCTGAAATAGGTGGTCCCAGTCTGCAGGTCTTTGCTAAGAAGCCACGGAAGCCATGGCGGAGGAGGCCAGAGCCGGTCCACGTGGCTTCCTCTTCCACCCCCCCCAATTAAGCCTCCAGGGAAGGGCCGGCTGCTGATCCTCTTACCGCTCCAGGTTGTAGTATTCCAGCCACATGTTGGCGTAGGCAGCATTCCCTTTGGTCATGATGCTGTCCCAGAGTTCCCGGGCCTTCTGCATGTTGTGACACAGGCGAGCCTGAGGAGGGCGCCCACCGCCCAGACAGTGTGTTAACAGACCCTTCTGTTCGGGCACAGCCTCTCCCTGCTTCCCGGCCAAACGCGGAGGCTAGGCTAGACGTTGGGCAGCTTGGGGGGGAGGAGGCAGGACGGGGTGCCTCCCCACTTCACCCGTGGAGTGGTCACCCGCACAGGGAGGCGGGGAAAGGCCAGCCGGGCTCCTTCCCTCAGCGGAGCCCGGACGGTTCTGGGGGTGGGAAATGGGTGCCATAGTTCATACTTCCTATATCTTAATACGAAACACAAAGGGCCCGTGTCTAACTGACACGGTTAAAACAAAATACAGAGGAGGGAAGAGCAGAGTGTTACCTCGATCCTCGCCCAGGTCTGCATGATGGTGCAGGAAGGGTCGCCGCTCTCGCTAAACCCTGAGGGACAGACGCAAAGCGAAGGACCAATAAGCAAGGTCGTTACAGGACAACGAAGGGCGAACGCATCCCACGCATCCACGGCCCAGGGCAAGGACAGAGGACACGGGAAAGGCCCCATGCTGTCAAAGACTTGCCAAGAGCAAAGCTTTGGAGGGGCCCCTCCCAAGATGGGACACGAGTTGCTTGGTGGGGAAGGGGGGGTTCGGCAGGAGCATCAGGCCCTTGCCTGGGGCGACCCCACCAAGGAGAACGGGAAGGGAGCGTTCTGTTCTATTGACTCCTTCCTTCCTTTACACGTATATTTAGCGTATGTCACCACCAGGATCCAAAGATCTCAGAGCAGTTCAGCGACACAGCGACGTTTCTGTCCCAGAATGCCCCCCAAGGTGCGTATTTTAAGCAGGCCCCCGTCACCCCCCCCCACCGTAAGGCTTACGCTCTTCCACTTCTTGCTTGAGGTAGTCCAACGCCTGGGCAAAAGCCGCCCGAAGTTCCTCCAGCTCTTTACTGGAGTCTGAAACGAAACGCAGGAGGGAGAGAGAAATCATCTAGAAAGAAAATTCCATCGAATGTCGTCTACTGTCATCGCGACAAAGGGAGTCGGAACTGATCCCCGTTTACACTCCCTGTCTGAGAAGTACCTTGCGCAAAATCCACCCTTCTCCGGAGGTAATCCAGGTAGGCCTGCCAGATTTCCACGTAGTCCGTCGCCTGGATGAAGCCGGCCGCCAAAGCCTTTTGGAAGGTTTCTAGCCGGGCGCAAAGGAAAACAAGAAGGCCGCTTGGGTGATCGGCGGAGCAGGACGTGACCCGGAAGACTCCTAACCCTCAGCGGTGGCCTCTGCCCCTTTTCCTCCCGCCGTGGCGATGCGTGCATGTGTGTGCGTGTGTGTGTACCGGCTATGGATCACTCAGCATCCAAGGCCAAGAGACACAACCTCAGATGGTGCTTATTTGAGTGGAAGTTCTGGCGTGATCACAAAGGAGACCCAGCCGTTCAGACTGTAACGGCCAGTGTGCAGGACACCTCACATCCCGCAAAACTTTCCTCGGTCCGCGGCGTTTCCCCCTTACCGGCAATCGTGTGATGCTCCACCCGATGCCTCTCCATGGCCAGGAGGTACTGGTTCCACAGCCTGACCGTCCAGGGGCAATTCCTCACAGCCCGTTCGTGCGCGGAGAGCACCAGCTCTTTCACTTTGAGCTGCCTGTCCTGGATGGGAAAACGCAGGGCCCGCCTATCACCACCAGGGCCCTCCAGCAGGGAGGGAGGCGGCCCACTGTAAGGCCGGGTGACCTATTGGTGTGCAACGCCTCGTCCTGACCCATCCACCTCACACAGGGTTCTTAGGGTTATAAGCCGGAGAAGGGGAGACCCTTGTGTGCCATCTCACTGAAACGTGGCATAAAAATGTAACAGATAAATAAGGGGCTGGTCGGCATTGTTTATCCACAGGACACCCTCTCTCGGATGCGGAATTCTAGATTTTGAGGGGCTGGAACAATACCCCAGCTAGGCCCAAAATGAGTCACGGGCTGTGGTTAAAAAGGTTCAGATTTTAAAAGGTGATAAACTAGACAAGACTTGGCCACAAGCAGGTACCGGCTCGGCTGGCTAGGCCGCAAAGCAAGAAGCTCTGGAGGAGGCCTGGAGATGAGAAGAAGCAGGCGATTCAGGGTTGCTTACCAGATATTGAGTGTAACGGGCCCACAGGTCTGGGACAAGGCAGTTCTCTGCCAGGGCACGCTCGTAGGTCAGCTGAATGCGAGCCGGGTCACCAGCCTTCACCTCAAAGTCGAGGTAGGCCTGGTACTCAGCCAGCTTGGGTGCCTCGGCGACCAGCTGGAATTAAAGCAGGGAGGGGGAAAGAACTATTGATTTCAGAGCAACAGAAAATTAATCCTTGTGATCACGTAGACGAGCGCGGATACCAGATAGAGCAGAGGAAGCGGCCAAGATTTTACAACACATCCATAAACGGCACCGGAAAGTGTTTTTATGTCTCTGGTGAAAGGCACCGCATCTGCGTACGAGTGAACCGAGAAATGACTTACCAGGGCCTCTTCGTAGGGCCGGTATTTCTCCATCAGCTGCAAAGCCTTCCTGTAGTTTTTCACCACTGCTTCTGGGACAGGCTCTTCCGACCACTCTTCGTACTCTGCAAACGTCGTTTCCATATCTTGCCGTTGAGAGAGAAAAAAAATTTCAGACACGAGAAGGAACGCCCACTTTATATTGATAGGTGTGCTTAATAAAAAGGTATCATTCACTTCTGGTTTTTCCCCCACCTCCACTGCCCACCTTCATACCCGTTTTTCAAAAAGCCAACATAAATATTTTTAGAAAGATATTCAGCTCGAGAACCAAGGAGACACCCAAGAGGCCCCATCAGGAACCCAACACAGGCAGGTTGTATCTTCCAAGCAGACAGAGCCTTCAGGCAGCACCAACGAACGCTCCTTGATTCTTACCCCACAGCGGGATCCCCAGCTGGCGCCGGAAGAGAGAGTGAATCTTGTCAAGCTGCGCACTGACTGTCTGCTGTGATTCAGGAGAGGCGACGCTGCCAGCTGCTGGCTGCCGGAAAGAAGGTGGGGAGACATGGGGGCAGGCTGCCTTTAGCCGGAAGAGCCAGAATGCCAGGACTTGAATGAATTTCTGCTTTGGAGCAACTTTCTGCAACTGGCACGACCAGAAGCTGTGCCTCCAGCTTCCAGGGGGGTTTCTAGAAGTCAGAGTCTAAAAGAATCACTTTTCGAGGCACTCTGGACGCTATGACAGCCTGCCAAGCTCGCCTGGAGCAAAGAGAAACCTGTGTGATACCTAAGAGGTGTGGTTCCAAATGGGTCCCGCAAGGGATGGCTAGGCTGCAATGGCTAACGGTCCTAAGGGACTGGCCAGTCCAGCTCAGCAACCGCCACAGTATCCAGACGCTGCTCACGTTTTCCCCACAGCAGATCC